GATTTGGGCTTCTGAGTTTGTTCTCAAACGGCAGAAGTGCAGAAGCTTCATTTGAGCCTTCTTTCACTTATCTTCCATCTGCTTCCTGGAATATCAAGGGTTAGAGTAAGTACTAAAGCTTTATTTTGTGTAAGACCTGGGTGATTAATACTTCAGCCCTGATCTCACCGAAACCATTATCAGGCTTCAAACAATTATTTGGTCTCTGAATTCTAAACTTGAGGGTAAATGGTTATTTGTTTTGTTCTTGTTTTTCTCTTTTTATTGTGAAAATTTTTAACATACCGGAAAGTTGAAAGAATTATACAGCAAATACCTGTATACCCTTCACAGTGGTATGTGTAGGTATAAACAAACATCTATATGTGTATATGTATTTTTTTTCTCAATAAGTTGCAGACATCAGGGTATTTCATTTAAATGCTGCAGCATGCATTTCCTGAGAATACAGGTCTTCTATGTAATCACAACATACCCATTACCTCTCAAAATCCTGATGTCCAGGACGGAACCTAAATCAAAATAAATCAAAATTGCTGAAAGGGACCCTAGGCATCAATGCATTTTTAAAGCTCACTGTTGATTACAACATACATAAAAGTTAAGAACCACTGTTTACAGAATGACTAAATTCAAGTTAAACATTTTCAAAAAAGAATACATCATTTGTGTTTTTTAATATGCATAAGAACATGCTAGTCTTTTAAAGTTTAGCAGAACTAAATTATAGATTTCAGGACAGATCGTCATAATAGTTTACATTTTCTTAAGTTCTTCTTATGTTAGTATAATTTTCTTTTTAAGTATTTCTTTAATATAAATGTATTTGACCTTCACTTCAGTTTCTTCTATATCGTGATTTGAAATTCATAAAATATGAATTATTATGTAAATCCTAAATATTTCACCCTTAAAGTTCCTATCCTAGGAGAAAATTATTTGTTTTATACTTTATACATTTTAGATGGAATGGCTATGGTAAAATACAGAGATGAGATAAAAGAAGGTAAGATAAAGATGGTTGATTCAGTGCCCCCAGAATTGCTAATCCATAAACAGCCAGCTCCCTTATATGCATTGTCTTCTTTGGGAGCTTACCCTGTCTTTTGCCTTAAACTAAAAGCTGGCTGTCTCTGAGGTTGTCATGTCCCAAATGGTGCCTAATTATTTTCTGTCATCACATGCCCAGGATAAAGTTGATGTCCACCAAGTTCCCTTTGCCTTTTCCTGGATCACTTATACTTTATACTCTTGTAAAATTAAAACAAAACCCATCAACCACAAAACACATCTGTACCTTTTCAGGTCATGCTAGGCTACCCCCCTCATCACATCTTCTTCATCTTTCTGATCCCCAGTTACCAGTCTACTATATCTCACCTGCCATCCCCCTATCCCCCAGCTTCTGTAGAGTAGTGCTCCTCAAACTTTATGTACCTTTGAATCACCTGGGAGATCTTGTTAAATTTAGATTCTGACTGAGTAAGGATACCCACAGACTATATTTCTCATAATTTTCATGAGAAGCTGTGGACCACTTTGAAGAATAAAGGAAAGAAATAGTTATTCCTACTATTTCTATTATCTAAACTATAGTAATCCTAGCTCTGCCTTTCTGCTTTAGCACTCTTTCCCTCCTGCCTTTACTGTTTTTGATAGCTATTCTTTTTTTTTCCTGTTTTTTGTCTGTCTTACATAGTCAAACTCAATCTCTCTCTCAACTGCTTAAGTATCATCCATTTAAAAAAAAAATTCTAATTTAACCCTTTACTCCCCCTGGCTACCATCCTAGGTCTCTCACTTCCATAGCCAAACTTTTAAAAAAAGAATTGTCTGTTTGCCGATATCATTTCTTTTTCTTTTTCATATGGTCACTTCAATTTTTAATTTTTTTTTTTGAGTGGAGGTACCCAGCATTGAACCCAGGACCTTGTGCATGCTAAGCATGCACTCTACCACTGAACTGTTTCTCTCCTCCCCATGTCATTTCTTCATCATTTCAGTTCTGTTCCCTCTTTCATTTGACTTGCAGGTCCATTAGCCCACCAACATAGTGTTCACTAAAGTCACGAAGGACCCCAAGTTGAGAAGGCAGAAAAAACATTTTCAGTTCTCATCTTATTTGAGCCTCTCAACAGCATTCAATACTGTGAACCACTGACATTTTTCCCCTTTGTCCTCCAAGACAAGATAATCTTATCTTCCTGTTACCATTTTAGCAACTTTTTTTGAGTCAGTTTTACAGGTTAATCATCTTCTATCCAGTTACTAAATATTACTTATTGAAGTTCTTTGGGGCCCAGTTCTCTTTTTCTAGCATATATTTGCACCCTACGGCCTTCATGCTCTCTTTTTTGTCACTTCAATGCAAATGATTTCTGGATTGATATTTCCAGGTTATATATCTTTGAGTTATAAACCTCTATATTCTATTACCTACTTGACATCTTAGATGTCTCAAGAGTACCTCAAACATAAGAGATCCAGAGCTCAATTAATAATTTCCCACCAGTGTATGACATTACCACACAACCAGATACATAGTCCAAAAAACTATTACTATGTTTTGACACATCATCTTCCCTCCCTGTCATATATCCATTCCATCTTTCAGGATCTCCCAAAATTCTATGGGACCTGTTTGATTTTTTTCCCCATCTACACCATCACCTCCACCCTGGTAATCACTGATTGTCACCTGTTGGCTGGTTTCCTAAGGAGTATTACTTCCACTCCACTCTGCTCTTCTTTCTGTTATCTGTTTGATACCCTGCAGATACGGTGATATTTTCAAACACAACCTTGATCGTTTGTGCCCTTCTCCCCTACTCATACTGAACTTGTTTTAGTTTCTCGTATTTGCCAGGCTCTTTTCCACTAAAGGGACATTGCTTGTACTGTTTCATTGGCTTGGAATGTTCTTTCCCTCTTTTCTCCTAAGTGATCTTACTTTATTCTTCAGTCCTCAACTCAGTTGTTATGAGTTTGGGAAAGCCAATCTTTGTCTAATAACTAAGTCAAATTTATCTGCCAGAAGACCATGCTGAATCATGTACTTCACCATTGCAATATTCCCTGAGAGTATGGTACTTTCCTGTTTTTGTTCACTATTGTCTCCTCAGTAGTATCAGAATTGCTGGCACATAGGCATTACCCTCAAAATATCTCTTGATGGAATTAATGTGTGGAGTGGATATCATCCACAATATTCAGGTAGGAACCCCAAATGGTATGACATTTGGGCTGGGCAGGTGGAGGGAGATGAATAGGGAGATTTCAAAGCACAAAATTTAATAGTATTTGCTGGAGTATTTATATATAAGTGGTAGGGGAGTTGAGGGTGTTTCATAGGTTGATTGGAGAATGGTTGAGCCAATGACAGAGCAAAGTTTCAGCTAAAGAAAATGATGAGTTCAATTTATTGATGTTCTGAATTTGAGGTAACAAACACCAGGTAGAAATGGCTTAACAACATTTTCAAATGTATGAATGGCTATGGTGTGAGATGTCTAGACAGCTCAGTCTGGATGCTGTTTGCTCCTGACAAGCAAACATACTCCTCTGGTTGTGTTCACTGTCCTAGTTAACAGCACAGAAAGGGTCAGAAATCTGGGAGCCATCTGTGCTCTCTCCATCTATTTCCTTATTATCTATTTTTTCTTTCTTTTCTCCATCCCACTGTCACTTCCCTAGACTTTTACCAGACTATTTCAACACCTCTCCAACTACTCTCCCTACATTCAGTCTTGCTCTCCTATAATTCAGTTTGCACTTTCCTTCCAGAGTGACTTTTCCAAGATACTAGAATGTCACTTTCCTGCTATGTATCTTTAAAAGGCGTCCACTGACTACAGAATAAAATCTGGATTCTTCATCAAGGCTTTATGATTTTATCGTAGAATCCCTGATTCTCACTTCCAGCTCCTCTCTCCAGTCATGCTAGACTACTTATCCTCAAAGTCTTCTGCTGTTTTTCTTCCTTGCTTCTTAATTTCCACCTTATTGAAATCTGACTGTAGTATGAGTTTTTCTGGCTGGGGAATAGATACTATACTGTCTCTTATGGAGATAAAAAACAAACTAAAACAAAAAGACCAATAAACGCTTAGCCTTCAAGTTAACTCAGATGTGGTCCCCTGAAGCCTCTAGGAAAATTTAGAGTTCCAAATGCTTACCTGCCAGCTCAGTGTAATTCTTCACCAAAAGTTAGCTGAGTCACTATCTCTTATACAGGTGAAGTAAAGCTCAATATTTGGCATGTCGGTCCTTGGGATTGTCTAATTACAAAGAGTTTGGCTACACGTAACTTCTTGTCACACGCCTCCCAGGGCTGGAAATGTGTCCACAGATTCCTCCCCTTGACCTCAAGAAGATGGCTACGGGGGAGGGGGCGTCATTACGTCTTACGTCATCACGTTCAGGGAGGGTGGGGCCCTCAAGGGAAAATATACTGAAGGGCGGGGCCAAGTGGGATGGGGCGGGGCTACGAGGGGCTGGGCGGGGCCGGAGAGAGGTCGGGGGCGCTTTTGCTGTTCAGCCGGTGCGATCGGCGGCGGGAGGCAGCGCCGGGCGAGTCCACTCGACGCAAGGTTCCGAGCGTGTGACCGAGAGCACCGACTCGGACCAGAGGCAACCGCGTAGCCGAGCGGAAGCTGGTGGCACCGGGAGCGGCGGCCAGAGCCCGAGCTTCGTAGGCGGGAAGCACCCGGGATCGGGGAAGCCCCGGGAGCAGTGCGGCGGCGCCTCCCTCACCCAAGGGGCCGCGGCGACGGTCACGGGGCGCGGCGCCACAAGCGCGACCCAGGCCGGGATTCCAAAGAGGCGGCCCAGGCTCCTCCTCCATTCGGTCCGCCTCACCTGCGGGCAGCGCCGCGCCGCCTCTGCTGGAGTAGACGGCACCTGCGCCGCCTCTCTCACGGGTCTCCGCCCCTCTCCCACCGGCGCCAGGCCCGGGCGGCTCACCTGGACGCGCGCGGCTGCGGGAGCTGAGGCTTCGGAGAGGGTGCGGCGTCTTCGCCACCGCCCGGGAAGGACGCAGGTGGAGCGGGTGCGGCTGTGTGGAGCCCGGCGCCGGCCGCCGCTGGGTCTCTGGGACCGGGCGGTCCGCGCCCGGGGAGGAGCCGCCGCCAGCCGGGCACCATGAACAGCAGCAGCGCCAACATCACCTACGCCAGTCGCAAGCGGCGGAAGCCCGTGCAGAAAACGTGAGTGTCCAGAGTGCGTCCTCGGTGAGGGGGTGGGCGCGCGCGTGCGGGAGGCGGCCGCACCCCGCCCCCAAATCTCCGTGGTGCGGGGATTAGGTCCCTTCCAGACGCAGTCCCTGAAATCGAGATTTGGAGGCGGGTCAAGAAACCCCGGCCTTGAATTTTCCCACGTTTAAATTATTGCAGTTTAAAAATTGTGCCCCTCCCCCGCCGAGGTCTTCAGTGCACCCCCCACCCATTTGCAGCACTGTTCACAGTGCTGTGGTCGTAATTTGTTGACAGCTCTGGTCTGCCCTGTGGGTCTGGTGGATTAGTTACCCTAAACCCGTCTTGAAATCCCCTTTTACGTTTAATATCCTCCTCGGTTAGGTTAGAGGACGGTCACAATTCTCACTTCTGGTAGGATGAGATGTTTTAATGAGCTAAACACGTGCTGTCTGCAAGAAAGGGGCAGAGTGCTTCTGAAGGTACTTTTTTTTGTCCGGTGCAGCTGGCTTTCTGTTGCATTTATATTTACTTATTTGGCAGTAGTTTTATAGCGCTCAGCATAAATATATCTGTAAAATGTGTAGAGATGGTAGCAGGTTTGAGTAAGAGCAGTAGACAGGATACAGTAGCGGATTTGTATTTTTCAGCCACCTTTTGGGGGAGATTTCTTATCACTTTGGGGTGATTTTAGGGTCTGTAAAGTAAAAGATATGGCTCTGGAATTATTGAGATAGATGTTTTCATTTTTAGCATCGTTCTCTAAGTCCCTTTTCCTTCTCCCTCCAAGTTCTGTCAATTCTGATAGATTACAAACAGGTTTGTTTGTTTTGGTAAGTTATTTGTATGAGATGGCAAGTACTTTTTTTTTTCAGAAAAGAAAAAAAATTCACGCTTGAGACATTTATTTCTGTGAGTTGGCAGTATTCGTGTGTTTATTCCTAACTACTATTCCTGAATTATTTTGCTTCACATTTTTCAGATTTTCATAAACTAATTTAAGACACATTAAACTTTTACTCAGAACAAACCAGAAGTGTGCATTTGGCTTAAAGCTTAATTTAGGTCATTAATCCAAACCAGAAAAATAACAGTTTAACATTAATATTTAAAACCAATTTAAAAGTTTCATTATTCTGGAGTTTTAATATCCTTTTAGAATTTCAATGATTATAGTCCTTCAGATCTAGATGTGGCATTAACAGAGGATATTCATCTATAAATAAACTGATTAAAATTTGGAAGTCTTATCCTGCAGTGTGGCTGACATTAGGAATACTGCAGAGTCAGCAGTTTTGTATTTTGGTAGTTCTGTGACATTGGTTTACAATACTTGATATTTTATAGAGTGGTTTCTTATATATAATGTATTTGTCTGATTTGACTTTGTGTTTGATGGCTATTTAAAATTGAGAGGCATCCCAAACACCTGTCCTATGTATTTATTAATACAACAGTACACTTAGCATAATATATAATAGAGATATCTTGGGTTTAAATCAGATGCTTTAATTTTGTATTCATTATAAAGTTTAGCATTTTTGGCTTCTCATTAAATTTTATTAAATATTTTCCCTTTAAACACATTACTGTACTTTTAAAAAATGTGTGTAAGATGTATCTTTAATTATTTTATCTTCACATTTTAGTTTACTTTCTAAGACTTTAATATATTCTGTTTAATAATCTCCTGTGATACAAATAAAGTGTTTCCACACTCACCCTCATTTTATTTTAGTTAATTTAGATGTTTATCAGATCTTCATTGAGCATCAGCATTGCTTCTAATCATATGAATGCCTTGAAGTTTTACTACGTTGCTCAATAAGAAAAGCCTGGCATTCATACAGTCACTTCAAATTGTTTTTACCTGAATGAAAAATGGTTAACTTAAAGTGCTGTTAATCAGAATTCATTTTAAGAATGGGGTCATAAACCCAGTATTAAGTTTAATGTGGTTTTTTGTTGTTGTTGTTGTTGTTGTTGTTAAATTGCTGGTTTGTAGCTAATGGGCTCTATAATACGTTGGCACACCGTCAGAAGAATTCATCTTGTTTGAAAATGTTATTGAGATATATTTAACTTTGACCCCTTAAGTGAGCCATTTTATTTTACTCGAAGAGAAAATATGTTGTAGCATAATTATTAGAGTATCAATAAGGTGGCTATTTACGTATACAATTCCATGAGATTTTGGAGTCAAGTAGGTGACAAAATTTTAACCTGAAACTCTTCCAGTCTTCAACTGAATTTGTTAAACAAGATAAACTCCCCCTAGTGGCAAGTCAAACATTGAAAGTTATCTTACTAGTAGGAGATACATCTTAAATATGTTAAATTTAATCCCACTAAAGTATCTTGTACATCATAGACTCTCAGTAAATGTTTTCTTTCTTTTTGGGGTAATGAAAGTTGGAAAATTGAAGGATCTGAAGCAATCTTACATCCGATCCATGCTGCTAAAGAAACTTTCAAAGATACTTTTAGTAATAGGTTCTACTCTAACTTTCCTTAAAATGTTCCTTGAAATAACCCTGCTCAAAAAATTTAATTTAATTTAATTAAAAGAACACATTTTTTAATTTAAATCCTATTATTTTATTTTCTTTGGAGATGAAAATCTTTTTGTTCATTTCTTTTAATTACTTTGTCTCACGAAGATAGGTAAAAGCACTCTATCAAATTAAATAGAGTCGGTTTTTCTTCTTCCTAATAATAATAACTTTGGATGTATTTTTGTACTTTTTCAGTTTTATTAATACATAAAAAGTTTTAGTGTTATTTCGGTTTACTGTATTTCTAGAAAATTAGTGCTTTATGTGGGCAAATAATAGGTGTGGAGTAAATGAAATATATATTTTAAAATGTTATCAGCAATAGTGGTGATCAAGCCAGTCATTATGAAGTGTCAGAGTTAGAAATAACTTTTTAGCCTTAGTTGATCCTTTTCACTTTGTTAACACACTAATAACAATTGTATAAAAGCATTGTCTTCCTTGCTTTGTTTGCTAAATTGCTGTTCATTCTAGTGACCCTGACTTATATAATATCTACTTAGTTGTATAAAATTATGTAATGTTTTCCTGAAAATATTTGATATAAATATACTATGATACCATTTATTAAATAGCTTCTAAAATAAAAGGGTAGGTCTTTTCGGTTACGTAATTATTTCTCCACTGTTTTTTTCTTCCAAATAGCTTTGTTCGGATAGTTTATACATAATGACTATAGAAGTTCTTACATATTAGAACTATGAAATGAATAAGTCAAAATGTTTATTTATTGGTAACATTTATAAAAAATGGTGTAAAGAGGAAACAATGAGATATAAATTGAAAAAGCACTACATCTAAACTAAAAGATGAGGTCTAGTTTCCTTGCTTCTGTAGATCTAGGCAAATGATTGACCGAAGAGGCAGGACAGTCAACATCTACACTGCTACTCTCACAACTAAAATTAGCAGAATAAAAGTGTTTTGTAAGCTATAAAGACTGCTAATGATATAGATGAAACAGAAACATAAATTCTATTCTTTAAATAATTTTAGCTTACATTATCATGAAACAATCAATTCTCTTGTGAAACAGTAAGAGGCAGTATATGATTGTGTTCTCCTTTGTGTATAGTGAAATGTGCTGCTCCACTGGTGAGTACACTTACATGGTACGTGCTCATCGGTGCATGTAATTAAGACAATTACTTAGAAGTTAGTACCATGCAAATCTTTAACAACAATACTTTTCTACTTCTGTACTTTAAAATTGACTTTTTTGCATGGTGGTTTAATATAACAAAAAGCTATTTGTTAGTACTTACTGTGACACAGATGTCCACAGTGCTTTATACACATCACTTTATTTCATTTTTATGATAGTGGTATGAAAAAGTATTTTTATTTCAGTTGTATAGGTAGGGACCTGAAGTTCATATTCAGAATTGTTAGGGGGTAAATGAAAAGGCTGAGTTTGAATATCTGATTCCAGGTCTTTTGGCTCCAAAGCTTATGTTCTTACCAACTTCACAATACTGCCCAGGTGAATAGGTTCAGTGATGCATACAGTACATCCATATACTAGGGATTTCCTTCAGGCTCACTGTTTCTCCTCAAATAGTGTTCTGAAATAAATTATTTACCATTTCCCATATGTGATTTGTGTTTATCTCCATACCTGCATTCATGCTATTTCTTCTTAGTCTTTTCCTCCTATTTTTATTGATTTGCTACCTACCTCGCCTCCTTTGGAACATTGTTTTCAATGGCCGCATAGTACTCCCTTCTGTCAATGTTATATAATTTATTTTGAGGTGGAAATTCTGTTATTTCCAACCTTCAAATATTTCAACTAGTACTTTAGAGAATACCTTTAAGATATGTGAATTTTTGTGCAGATTCTTAGTTCATCCTTAGGAAAAATTCCTGTAAGTGGAAATTTGGGGTACTAAGTTATGTATACTTTCAAGAATTAGCCAAATACTAAACATACGGTCAGACTACTCTGCAAAAATTTACATTCCTATTGGCAGTCTGTGGGAATGCCTGTGTCCCTGTGCTTTTGCTTTAAAAATATTGTCAGTTTCCTAGGCAAAAAAGTGCGGTAGGTAATTGAACTTCTGTGTTGGGATTGTGTGTGTGGAGTACTACTGTGTAGGTTTGCAGGTTTTTCTGCTTGAGATGTCCTTTACATTTTGATTTTCTTTGTCTTATATTTTTCAGTTTGCTCTTTTACCTTATTTTCTTTGAAATATTATTTTGAAAAGCATTCAGATTAAATAACACATGCATGTTAAGAAGTGAATAAAATGTTTATAATGTTAAGTTTAGCCTACTTGGCATTATCTGTTGATGCTTTGTTAATGATAGTTACGGTTGTTAATGATAGTTACGGTTGTTTCATCTCTCCTTTGTCCTCTCAGTGTAGTTTTAATCACAGTTTTGGATTAAATTCACTTGCAGTAGTCCATTATTTTTTAACTGTAAATATTGTTAACTGTTGAGTTAAGTAGTACACCA